GATCACCGTTTTCATCTTTGCAGGAATTAGCTCCGGGTTTATAACCATTTGTCAGGCTTTTAAGTTTTTGATCGAATTTTCGAGCCATATTTTTGTCGTCTAGCTTCTCAAGCTCTTCGTACTCACGTCTTTCTGTTTCCTTCTTTTTTCGCCTGAAAAGACGTTTCTCTTCCCTTCTCTTTTGCCGATATCGCTCTTTAACAGCACGCGTCGCAACTGACCGCAGGATGGCTTGATATGCTGCGTCTTTCTCTGCGGTAGCATTGCGACACCCTTGGTCGTACCAGCTGTTTCTTTGTATACGGTGATAGCCTATCACTTCTTCTGCAGCGGTACGCATAGAGTTAGAGATGTGGTTCCATTGCGCGCATATATCGGCTTCTTCAGATGAATTTTCTACTACTAATACTAATTTTACAGTTTTTAAATAAGGTGCGGAAACTACCAAGAAAATTAGTTCGTATAATCCAAAATGGAAAGAAATTGTTCAAATGTTGCTTCCTGGACAGACATCAAGTGATCGGCACAACATCACTGCACGTGTATTCAAGCACAAAATTCGATCGCTGATGAATCTAAAATTTAATACAACATTCATTGACTGTTACGCGGTACGAAGTTCGCGGGGTCACCTAGTTATACATAATTATATCTAAAACGATAATTTCACAACGCGAGTTATTTTTCTTCCTGCGAAAAGGTCAATATCTCTAGCCAATTCTTTAAATATTTTTCATTATTTTTAATTGTGTATTGTTATATATGCATTTACTATTTCTATTTCTATCCTATCCTATTACTTATATCTTATTTTTTAGAAAGATACTTATGGTTTTGTTCCTCTTTACAGATTTCGTTTCGTATAATAGCAAGTTATGTTACTAAACGCTTGACAAACAGACATTTGAATATAATATTACAGTACATTTTCATGATATGGTTATTTTCTTATAATGAAAATAAAGTAGATACAATTTTTAGTTGTGAAGTGTCTGTTTAATCCCTACAATAGTGAAAACAATTTTACGACTAAAGCATGCTTACTCTGAGTCATATGTGTCGACTTTCTGACGAGCGTCAATTTCGATGGACTGGTTAAATAATTAGCGTTAAATTTTATAAAATCAAAATACCGGAATTATCGTAACTATCCGCTATTTACACAAAAAATATTCGTCTCGTTACACAAAATAAAGAGTGCGCATCTTCGAAACCCTAATTGCATTTCAATCACATCCCATAAAAACTAGTTTAATTTTTATTGTAGTAAATTGCGTTATCAAAACTTTAAGATTTGATCGCAAATATTATTTCACTTCCAACAGTGGAAGTGCGGTTTATGCTAATAAACAAAAATTAAGTGTCACAGCTGCTTGATAATTAACATTTATGTTATGAGCAGTGCAACCAATACATAAAAAGACTCTCCTCTTGTAGTAAATTGCTTCAACCAATCTCTAAATGATCACAAAAATTATTTTACTCCCAATAGAAGTGTGGTATATACTAATGAACATAAATTAAGCGGACAGTCCAACCAGTATATAGAAAAATACATGGTTTTATTTCTTAAAGTAAATTGATTCGCTTAATCTCTAGATTATCATACAAATTATTTTACTCCCAACATTGGAGGTGTGGTTTATGTCAATAAACACAATTTAAGCGTTGCAGCTACGTTATGTAGCATAAGGTAAGCAGCATTTACCTTATGAAAAGCACAACCAATACACAAAAAATATGTTGTAAATTTTTTTTTAGCAAATATGTAGATAATTACAAATACCATTTCACTTTCAACAATGGAAGTGTGGTATATGCCAATAAACGCAAATTAAGTCTCGCAACTGCCTTTCTGATCACATCCTTTATATTTAATTTGTAAAAAGTAAGTTGATAACTTAGTTAGTTTATGAACTGAAATAATCCTTTATATAGTAAATTGTTACCAAGATGTCTTCATTTGTATCCATGATAACAAGGGGATTATTTTATATTTAACTTTTTGACTTTTTAACTTTAAAAATTATGTTATAATTTCATTTGAGTTTTACACTAAACTCATTTGTTTTTAAGTGTATGTAGAGCTCACTTCCTTAAATTAAAACATCCTTAAATTTCCATTAAATCCTTTGGGAGTTGTATTTGCAGTTATTAACACCACTTTTTCATATTTCTTCACATTTAATGTTACTACACACCCACCTTTCTAGCCTGTGGGCGCCAAAGTTCAACAAACTTTTCCTGGAAATTAAACCGGCAACCTCAGGGGGTTGGGTAAAAATTTACTGACTAGAAGCTAACATTTTCCGTTGTTGTCGTTCTTTTTTTTTCTTTTATTTTTTTATTTTTTTTTTTTTTTGATATGTGGTTTTGCTTACGTCTTTGGGGTCAAGTACGTGTTTTGATGTGAGAATTTGCATTTTTTGTATAGTTTTTCCTTTTTATTTAATTTTTTCAGTTTTGCTGCATAATTAAGAAACCTTTTTCTTGTTGAAGCGCAAATTTTTACAATTATAATTGTTGAACAATTTAATTGTCGACGTTTAAAACAATTCGCAAATTCTTGTGGTTCCCCTTTTCCTTGGAAATTGCATGTGTCAGGCATTTAACCTGAAACGAAAAAAAACTGAACAAAAATTATGAAAACATAAAAAGTTGCATTTAATGCATTTCAAATATGTTTATAAGTACATAAATGCAGTTTGAAAATGTTTAAAAAGAATTATTTAACATATTCTTATATATTCATGTATTACTTGTATAATAATTATAAACAAATTGCGTTAACATATAAAAAAGTATGAATTATATGCCATACTTCTTTTTTATTGCTTGTTAGATCTTAGATTTATGCTCGAGTAATAAGTATTTTTTAAAAATCGTTTAAAAATAATTTTATAACATATTTTGTAATAATTTTATGGTAGATATTAAATTACATATTTATTATAATAACAAAATGTGTAAGTAGGGGAATATTACGATTTTTATTGCAATTTTTTGAAGATATTAGTAACAGCTTTGAAACTTTTCTTTAACTAATAGAGCTAATAAAAAATATAATTGCAAGATAGATATTTAATCTAAGAGATAAAATTGCATTATAATATTGTATTAAGGGTAGTGAGGGAATTGTAGAAATTAATAATACTGTTTGTATTTTGAGATCCTCAGAATTCAAAGAGCGCCTAACCAGCCATCACTTTGATACCCTTTTATAAAAATCTTAACTGATCCTTAGAATAAGGATCTGAGGATAAAAACCATCCTCAGCAGTTGATAAAGGAAATTATTTTTATAAAATCTTCGTTTGGCATGTCTGTCAAGCTCAATTGTTCGTAGACATTCTTTAGTGCAATATTTCAATCTTGCCAGGCCCAGGTATTTGCAAAGTAAGTGTTTAGTGGTGTCTTTCTTCTCTTCCTATATGTAGCTCTTGCATTTTTGTATATTATTTTCTATTACACTAAGATTTTAAAGAAATAAATAAAAATAATAAAATTAAAATTTTAAACCAAAAACTTTTAGGTGTGATAATTCGTGTAGTTCCACCATCTGTGATGGAGCATGGCAAACAGAAAATTCAAAGTGGTGTCAAAATACCATAAGAAGGGAAAGCGAAGAATAATTAATTGAAAATAAATTCAGTAATTAAATAATAATGGATGTTATAAAATTTAACAAAGGTGGATGTGGGTAAGAGGTTTATTGAAACTGACTGGATCCATGTTAAGCAATGATGTCACCTTAAGAGGACAATTTGTATAGTATGTGCTGTTAGACAATTATACCAAACATTTTTGGTGTAGAGTAGAGATAACTTATAAATTTCAAGTAGATGGAATCACGCGTCATATGTAACCTTTTAGCATATGGCTATACTCAGATTTAAATTGACTTCTTAGCATTGTTGCTTCTTTTTATTTGCCGTTCTGGAAGATGCTAACCAGGAGAGTATTAAAACTGAACTGCTATACATTCATGTCAGCAAGGAGTTGGGCTATTTGAATATATATTTGAAAAAGTACTTAGATAACAGTTGATTACCTTCTTTTATAGGTTAATTTAATTTGTATCGATGATTCAAAGGCATCCATTCAGGCTTATAGGCCCATTTTGTTACCGTATAAGGTAAAACTCAGAAGTTTAAAATAACCTTGAACCTTTGCCAAATGCTTATATCTTATAATGGTATTTAAGGGGTGGTCTTGTGGTTGACTAATATCCTCAAAAAAAGGTCGCTAGAGTGGTAAAATGGCACTGCGCTTGTGTTGGACAAGAACGAAGTAGATGGGACACTCTTCTAGCAGAGTGTCCTAATTTGCAATGACCTGTGACTGAACTTAACCCTAGGTTGATATCTCTACGGGGCATGTTAATGAGAGTCCTGTATTCTTTTTTAATGGTATGCGTGCAACTTTAATACAGATGCCTATATATCGTTGAGTCTTCCTATCTTTTATTGAAAAGTTCAGCACAGAAAGAGTTCAGTAATAATTTGCATGATGTCAGCGATATGCCTAGATTGTATAGGTGTTCCGAGTGATTTCTTAAACCACCTCGTCTGCTTTGCAGTTGTCGAAAATATCCCTATGACCTGGAACTTAGGTCATTGGGTTCCATGACCTGCGTTGACATCTCGTTTAGAGATGTGTAGCAGTCAAAAATCGTCCTAGCTGTAAGTTGGACTGAATACGTTCTTTTATAAAGAAAAAGATCGTACGAATAATGTCCATAAACCATTCCGGACAGTATTCTACGTAACGTTAGTTTTTGCAGCTGTGAGGTGTGTATTGTGATGAGGTGTGTATTGTGATGAGGTATTGCACCCTTCAAAAATTTGCTAAAAAGGTTTTCTATTATTATTGTATTTAAATATGGAAATGCAGAAGACTTGTTACTTGTGTAAAAGTACGTCACATTCAATTAAATTTATAAAAATAGATTATGATAATTGTAAAGCATAATTAAATGTTTTTATTTTTATTCTTTTACAGATGAGTGGAAAACGTTCGCGTAGCTTTAAGTGTGCTGTTCATCATCGTGATCGTGAAGTTTGTTCTGAAAATGATTTTCATTTAGTATTGGAGGAGCCGCCGTTCTTTAAAAAAATGGTTCATGTTATAGCGATGGAAGTGTTGCCCGAAGAGCGTGATCGAAAATATTACGCTGATCGTTATTCATGTTGTCCACCGCCGTTTTTTATAGTTCTTATGACATTCATAGAGGTAAGCGAATGGCACGTTCACTCGTTTATGGATATCATTACGAGCATGAGGCGTGTAATGAATGCATTTATTAAATAATAAACGTTTGTATAATAACCCCAAAAGCGGTAGCACTTTGATGTACTTCTTATATATTATGGAATAATAATAGAAATAGAAATTTTTACTAAGGTAGTACAAAATTTTTATTAAAAATTTTTATTATTTGTTAATATGCAAAAATATGTAAAAGTTGTACATAAAAAAAACATATTAAATCGCTATAAAAATTTTATATTTGCTGTTGTAATAAATTTGACAAATGTGGTAAACGTTACATGGTACATGGATTAAGTAAATATTTATTAAAACGGTAATATATTTTATATTGATTAGGTATATTTGCTTGTATAAATCAGATATATATTCCTATGTATATTAGTAAACATATGCTTATATATATTCTTTTATGTATTATTATATATGTTATTATATATATTATTAAGTATATTATTTATATATATTATTTTATATATTATTATATATATAATTAAATATATTATTATATATATTCTTATATATATCATATATCTTTGATTATTATTTTCAAAGCTTTTAATAAATAGTCGATTTACACCCACTTTAATGCGTGCATAAATAAAATATTTAATTTAATATTCAGTAGTAGTTCATTATCCTTTTAAATATATTCTACACTCCAGCGTTGATATTAAGTATTTTTTCTACCATATTAAGTTCTGTTATTTATGCTTATTTAAACAGTTTTGTATCCACTCATGTCGAGAAAATTTTTGTTAAATATTTCGCATAGCAATTATCAGACGCGACAGAAAGTCTCGTCGTTCGCTAAAAGTTTAACTGAAGGGTCTGCAGAAAATCGATTATGAATTTTTGATTATTTAACAAAAACATTAAATTGTTTGAAATATTATATTTGAAATATAAGTAAAGTTAAATATTTCTGTTATCGGAACTCAAATATATGTCCTTCATACACAAAGTCTGA